CTTTTCAAGCTTTCAATGTGAGTAAATGCTCATCACAATTATAAAATAATAAAAATACCAGCACAGCACAGATATGGATAACAGTGAATTATGAAAATGGAATGAAATTCAAAAGGAAAAGGGCATTAACCCAAAGAAAGATCAAATACTACAGAATAGTTTGTATGGATTCAAATGCAAGTTCTGGACGCTAGACAGCATGGTTAGGCTAAAACTATGGATCTAATCTTATAACAACAGGAGTTGAACTCTGGATGAGTCACATAACTAGTTCATAATAATAGCTTTTCAAAGTTGGATCAACACAATGAAAACATAAAAATATAAAAACAGAAAAAATATATACTGCATGAATCTTCCTCCTTAAAGATACCAATTAAGTAAAGTCACCAAGGTCTCAAATAAAACACCCAATTTCATAAAGAGTATAATGCACCAATATAATAAATATGCAATATGTACTAATAGGTTACAGATCATTGGTTTGCATTGTAAACCATGTCATTCCTGTGGAGGGCTATAAGTTTACAACATACCAAGAAATAAAATAAATAAATACAGCTTTTAACTCAAGCATTTACAATCCATTACACTCTTACTCATTTACATGTAGTGACAATTATAGTACAGCTCAACAAATTCTTTTGGCCATTAATGACACTGGCTTTATTCATAACCACTAAGTAAATGCTGCATGCTAAATTTCTCAGTGAATGATTATATGACAATATATATCTAATATCAGATCCTCAACAGACAAATGTTTTTTCCACATTAATTTTTACAGCCACTGTTATATTGTTTGGCCAAATAAGTAAGCTGCCAACAGACTAGAATATTCATCATAAGTAGGTCATAATAGCTCCATTCCATACAATATTTTCAGCTGCTAATCATGCTCTCTGATATTAGCAGTACGTACAGTAAGCATTGATTTATCATCTCTTTCATTTTCATTGCTTATGGCTTGTATATTCTTACCCTCTTTGTATTATCATTATGGCAGAGAGGCAATTTGGCTTTCTGGGTGTGAATTACAAATGGCAGGTGTTCATAATGTATGACTTTGACAAACAAGTCCAAACTTTACACTGTTAAGAAAGTCATGCGACAAATGCCTTTCGCTGTGAAATTTAGGATATAGGGTTGTCTGACACACGGCTAACTTTTTTTCCTCACCTTGTCTGCATCCTGCCACAGATTTATTTATGCAGGAAGTATATAACTGCTACCAGTACAATTCTAAAGTTTGTTCTCATGCTACAATATATACATAACTTTTTTCTTAAAATATGTGGGAAATTGCTCCCTCTTTCTGTTATTTAGCAAATCTAATATATAGCTCATAACACGTCTGCCATCAAGAATAGTTTCTACTATATAAGTACACTTATTCCACCTGTTCATATCAGCCATTCCAATAATGAGAAGGCATTCTAATTGTTGCAAATTTTTTTACTGTTATCCAATCTTCATTAGAGACTTGTAAATCAAATTAAATAAATAATATACCCAAGTAAAAGTGCAACACGCACCAACCAACTCTTAAGACATCAAATTTTATTATCATCATATCTTTTGCACAAAATCATCTACAAAATGAAATATCATATTTTTCAACAGATCTGAACACAGTTATGTAAGTTTTCCCTAGAAATATGGTCAATCTTATCCTATTTAAAATGCCACTCCCTAAACGCATTACCTTTGCTCCAAATGCTTCATATATTAAAGTTAACTAGCCCATTCTTAACCCATATCACTCAAAAGTATTGTTTGACAAAGGCCATGATTTTGATCAGTTCACAGTAATCGCATACTGAGAAATACCAGACATTTAACAAATTTCCATGCTTATGAATAAAAAATCTTTATCCAAAGACTCTTCCTCAATTCTATGCCACCTCTACTAGTACTATTGCAAAAGTCTAACAATAATATCAAATGTAGAAAAATCAAACCAATAAATACAAAAAAAAGAAAATAAAACCTTCGCCACTTGGAATAATTACATCATTGATTTGCTTTTGTAACCTTCATGTGACCTTGGTAACCAATGAGGCTCAGTTAAGGTCAGCACAGTGAATCTGACATTTAAACCCTACATTTTTTACATTCTTGCCTCAACCTCACTCACTATAAATCTTCTGATATTTTGATGCTTTGCCCCTTTTCCTAATTCCATTCCCCATTAACTGATTTGTATTAACTCTCCTGACAATCACATCCAACAAAATATGTTTATATTTTTTTTTGAAAGGGTCTTCTGAACTTCATAATAGTAAATAAATTGGCAACAATGATCTTTGCAGCTTAAACTAGTATATATTTACAAAATTTACAAGCAGTCATTGTGAGATACATGATGAGAGCTTTAAAAAAAACTCCTCTTTCACTCTTTCTTTGTCTGCTTTCCATTTATAATCACACAAAAGGTCACTGAAAATTCTGCCACTGGAGGAAAAGAGGTGTCACTTGAAAAAAATTACTGGAAATTAACAAAAGTAGCTTTACGTGTGCTGATACCAACTTTAATAACGCAAATACCAAAACTAAGACAGAGAAACGCAAGAGTAAAATGTAAAGGAACTGGTAACATCTAATTCAGAATATTTGTCAATCTACCATAGCCTAAAAATCTACAAAGACAAAGGCCTACTAAATAGTTTTCAGCAAGAGATATAACACAACTCGTAGTACCTGTAGCAATCTGTTACATAAACAATAGTTATTCACGCAAAATTACATTTATGAAAATTATCATTGGTTCCTAATTTTAGTAGTGGAGCCTGTTCTAATACATAACACACTATCAGCATGAACAAGAATGAGCAAAAGGAGCAATAAAGAACCAAGAAAGAAATCTGGCTGTACGTAATAACATCATAAGTGTGAACAAAAAATTAATGCGGCAATTGTTGACTACAAGTCCTTCCTTTGCTTTTCTAACCGTGACCATTTTTGATAAGCATCCAATATTGCTTCATCTGTATATGAAAGCACTACTATCTGAAATTTTGCATATGATTGTGGCTACTTTACTTGAAAGTACTCTCAACTGGGTACTAACAGAATATACACAAAACCAAAATAAAGAGTTAAGGAAACTTTTGCTTTCTTAATGTGCTAAAGAGCTCTTAGCGCACTATTAACAGAAAGACTTTTAGTATAAGTCTAACTTAAATAGTTTGATATCAAAGTGTCCAGAAAAATCACATTCTTTCTGTAATCCTCATGTATTCCACTTTCATTTTTTAAAGATAATTACCAGGTAAACCTATCAGTAAGGAATTGGTATATCTGACTATTTGACTTATCTTATAAGAAATAAGTACCAAAGAACCAGAATTCTTGAGAACAGTGGTCCATAAAGTGCAAAATGAATCAGTCATTCTTGATGACATTTCTTCATAATAACTATTAGTAAAATGCATTAACCTCTCTTCAAAGATGGCCAGACTCTGAATTATTGCTTATTTGGAAAACCAATAGCAAGTTAAATGTCATTCAAAAGTAAATAAATTTCATCTCCAGAATAAACTGGACAGATACTCTGAAAAGACCATCATATCATGTTATTCTTGACACTTTAGATTTCTATGAATCCAGTATTTTCCCCCATGTTTTACCAACATATGAGATCCACTTTACGAAGGCTATCCATTTTTTAATTCATCTCAAGTGTCTCTGATAGTGTGTCTGGAATCCAGTACAATTCAATTCATATCCAAGGGTAACACTTTAAACATCTCTAGTAACATCACAAACAGAATCTAGCTAGAATTTCTTGACAATTTTCTCAAGGGACACTGAATATTCTATACTTCTCCAAATTCCTTCTCTATAACTTGTTCCTGTTTAAGAGTCTGAGATTCCTAATAAATCAAATCAAAATTTCACTTCATCTGATATAAAACAGACTTCGCTATTGCAAACAGCTACATCCTGAACCTTAGAAGTACAAAATGCTCATCAGATCCTGTCATTTGGATATCAGTCCAATGGAGTGGGCATAATTGAGCCAATTCATCATCAGAGAAGATAGTCACTTTAAACTCTCAATGCTGTAACATCTATCTTTGAACAAACATTGATATAGTTGTTAAGCTAGCTGTACTTTACTACTTACAATTAGATAATACAGCTACCCTCAGAACATCTGCTTGCAAATGGAGCTATATCTTGATTCTCTGTCATATTTAATACAGGAAACCATTCCTAACAAAGGTAAAGGGTCTAATTGAAAGTCTAATACTAGAGATAAAGCTATCATAGCTGAGGAGACTAATTAGCACAGGGGACCTTTGTGTGGAGTCCAGATGAAGAGCATGCATGTCTGTGAAAGTGCAAGAGATCAAGAATAATAGTAAGAAAGAGCAAGAGAGTGGCTGTAAGAGAAGAGTGAAAAAAGAGAGCAAAAGTGACAGCAAGAGAGCTAAAGTGAGAATGAAAGAGCAAGAAAGTGAGCGAGAGCAAGAGAGTGAGGGTGACCGTACAAGAAGAGTGAAAAAAGAGGGCAGAGTAAGAAAGCAAGAGAACGAGTAATTAAGAGAGTGACTCAGAGCAAGAGAACAAGTAAGAGCATGAGAACGCACTTGAAGAGGGGAGGGGGGGGAGTGAGAGGGAGAGAGGGAGAGAGGGAGAGAGGGAGAGAGGGAGAGAGGGAGGAGAGGGGGAGAGGGGAGGGAGGGAGGGAGGGAGGGAGGGGGAGGAGGGAGGAGGGAGGAGGGAGGGAGGGAGGGAGGGAGGGAGAGGGAGGGAGGGAGGGAGGAGGGAGGATAGAGGAGGGAGAGAGGGAGAGAGGGAGAGAGGGAGAGAGGGAGAGAGAGAGAGAGAGAGAGAGAGAGAGAGAGAGAGAGAGAGAGAGAGAGAGAGAGAGAGAGAGAGAGAGAGAGAGAGAGAGAGAGAGAGAGAGAGAGAGAGAGAGAGAGAGAGAGAGAGAGAGAGAGAGAGAGAGAGAGAGAGAGAGAGAGAGAGAGAGGAGAGAGAGAGAGAGAGAGAGAGAGAGAGAGAGAGAGAGAGAGAAGAGAGAGAGAGAGAGAGAGAGAAGAGACATTTGTAAGCGTGAAAATGCTTGAAAACTTGAAAGTATACATGCATGTACATACCACACATTCAACAGTATTGTATACCAAGGAAATTACTAAAATACATCAATTTGCCTTTGTATATGTAGGTTTGATCCTCCTGTAGACATGCACATGTACGGCTCATCTTATCTATTGCACTGTCTCTATATTAACATAACGTTAAATACTCTTCAGTTAAGTTTTTTCCAATGAGTATCACAAAAAGGCATCTCTAACCCTGCACTTCCATAGAGCCATTTATGCAAACATAATATTGTCATAGCCATAATGTCTATATACAGATCCACAAAAAAAATATAGTATCCTGGCAAACATGTTTATACTGTATACAGTAGCAACCTTACATACAGCACTTCATCAAGTTTTATTATACTACAAAGAGAGGTTCTGACATGTTTTTCTGATCTACTCGCTTTGCTTTAGACCCTAAACAAACCGACAAGACTAGATAACTTTAAGAGTCAGCTGCTTCACAAGTCTGACAGAAGCCTTGCTTTTTTCATAAACAGTGTATATTTCAAACAATAGAAAACAAACATGTCTCAGTTCATTACCCTTGTTAAGTTCAAAGTACAGGTCATCGTCTTCCACCTCACCATCAGACGTCAATATGTATTTGTCAAGCAAGAGGACTTCTGACTAAACCTCCGAAGTTGCCATCCGGCCAAAGTATTTAGTCCAACAGACATGAGGCATCAAATACAAAGCCCAGTCAAAACTCTAACCCTCAGAAAAACAAACACACTTGAGTTACTACAGCTGTAAAGTGTATATAGTCTGGACATAATGGTCATTAGGAATTGGACAAGAACTTTTTTTTTTATACTTTTTTCTTTTCCTTTTTTTTTCATTGTTTTTTCTGAAATTTTATCAGGCAGGCCGGGCAGCTCCCATCACTAAAAAGAGCTCAAGTCCGCATTATCACAGATATGCAACGTGCACATAAATAGAAGAAAGGTTAGAAAGAAAAGAGGAGAAAGTTGCAATGCCATAGAAAAGAAAAAATATTTACGAAGTAAAAAAATCTTTGGTGCTTAAAAAAAATAAACAGGTGCAATATTAAAACAAATTGAAGCACAGGGGAAGATCAAAGAATGAAAGGAAAGAGATTCAACAATAGGGAGATGTGGCGACTCAATCATCTCGACAAGTTCTTTAAGTTGCATGTACTCTCTCTCTTTCCGGATCCATTTATCTTCAGTCAGTCAAATACATACACTGCACACACCCAAGTAGCTTTGTTTCATATGCAACTAATATTTCATTTTCAATAAGAAAGAAAAATCATGACAAGGTGGCAGGATACAAGCAGAAATAAAAAAATTAATGAATAAACACCATATGTACAGGCAATCAGTTAACTAGTAATACTTCACCCAATCCTATTTCTCATCTGCATCATTCCTTATTTGTTTTGTATTTTAGTCCTGTCCCAAGTTCCTTTCAATTTGTTTGTAAACAAAGTTAATTTTTTTCTTATGCAGAATTGTCTTTCTTGGTAATCTTATATAAGTCCAATTTATTTCCAAGAATCACTGCCTATAGAAGGAAGTGATACTATGTTGCTGTTTCTTACATTATTCTACAGCTTAGAGTCAATACTTACATCCTTAATTTTTGCATTAAGTTTCTTTTTGATAAAATTAGGTGCTTCATGAAAACCTGAAGCAAAAATTCCTTACTTACATCTCCGTGAGATACTCATGTATAACCTACATAAACTTATCCACAAGGAGTTGTACACCCCACCTTAGCCTAAATGTTAACATCTAATATAATTCTTACACATCAAATATCATATCCAGTGAAAATCCCTCTTCTATGATCCTTAGAATGATAAAATCCCTGAATTTCAGAGAGAATCTTACCAAAACAAGAAAGTAAGTGATGCTCACCCAAACCCTTCCATACAATGCCTATCACACTCTGAAAGCAACTATATAGTAAAGCTCTAAACAGCCAGATTGATATAAAGCTGCAAAGCAAAGCTCAGACAAAAGAAAAATGTTTACATAAATTAGGAACCAAACCTTTGATGGTTAAAACACAGGACAACGACAAAACAAAAAATGCATTTGTTAAAAAATAAATGTATGGCTAATGTATCCCCTTTAATTGTAAGGAATGAAGTTTTTTTTCTAGAACTAGTTAATTTTCTACTCAGAATTCAAAAATTAAAAACAAAACTGAGTAAATAATTTTGATTTTGAAGCTTTCTTATCATTCTATCTACCTGACATTACCCATGATACAAAAAAAAAAAAGTTATCAAAGTACTAGCATATTATACTGTCATGTCGAATAACTCACTAATACAAACTCAAAGCACCAACCCCTTTAAGAACAAATAATTTCCAATCAATTTATAAAAAGAATAAAAGCACCTGATACAGGACTTAATTTGAAAATAAAAGATCTGAAGCCAAACCATTCTCCAGAGTGAGGCAATTCATGTGAATTACTTCCTTGGATTTCAGTCTAAAATGAGATCCAGTCCATCACTTCAGATAGACACCCACACACACCAACATACACACGGTAAATAAATACCAACACACAGCAAAGACACAGTGCTGAGACCATGTCTTCCCATGCTCTCTCTGACACACCATAGCTATCCATGCTTAAGGAGTAAACCATTCGAGATTCAGACATATTTCTGAATTTCCTCAAGGAAAACATGACAGGAGTTAGGAAGCGTAAGGTGTCGTCTCCCTCAAAATGTATCAAACACAACGCTAGCTGTTTCCACTGAGAGGACGGTAAACGCCACATAATTCTTTCATATGTGCACGGGTGCATGGAGCTTCTCCAATCAATCCGCTTCTTGTGCAGCAGGCAGCTAAATCTCTGGGAGAGGCTGCCACCAGACACCTTCACAGAACTTCTTGACATATGATAACACCATATTCTGTGAAGGAAATCACTCTTACTTGCACTCGACTTTCTGGGACACAGTCTTCTGTGATCTGGTTGGCTTTGTTGGCAGAGATGACTTAAAGAGGAAGAATAAGAACAGGAAGTATCTTGTTTATCTACACAACAATGGGAGTTGAGTAGCACCTTTCTGGGTTTACTTCTACTTAATGATGTTAAACAGCGTTTGACTTGAGGCCTATAGTGATAACAGGTGCGACGTGCTCCAAAAGGCCCTAGGACGAGCTGAGTTCCCTTTTCCAGGCCAAGAACCAGAGATTCTTCTAAACTCATCTGCTTCTGCGCTGAGAATTCTCTCTGACTTTCTGACGTAGCCTCCAACTGGTGACTCTCTGCTGTGCTATTCTCCAAAGAGGACTTACCTTCTTCTCTTTCATTAAGACCTTCTCTTACATCAACCTGACTTCCTGTTTTCTGGTTTGGCCGACTGTACTTTCCTCTAGAGTCTCTGGTTCTACATGGAAAATAACTGGGATCCTCATCATAGTCATCTTCAAGCATTTCGGAGCAGCTGGGAGCCCACAGGCTGGTTACTTGGGAACCAGACCGCGGGACTTTGGGTACAAAGAGCTGTCCGGCACCTGTGATGGGGGGCGTATCCCACTCTTGAATCTGCAAACATATCAGAAGGTGAATAATGACAGTCTAATAACAAGTGTCAATCTCAGAATAGCCTGCCAATAAGCAATACTATAAGATATAAGGGACTACAAATAACCTGCCAAAAAGCCTGTACATGAAATATCAGAGATACTATGCTGGTGATGAGAGGGTTTCTTTCTCTACATTTTGTGA